TGTTCAGGTGAAGGTTGCTAGGTCATGCAGTATTGGAAAATATTACAATGGCTATCGCTGTATTAAATGGAAACAAATTTTAAACTTCATCCTTTCATATCCGTAGGTCAGCCAACACAGAAGAACAACCGCACAGCACCTGAGTATTGATGTTTGCGCACTTCTTCAGCAGAAGTTTCACGAGCCGATGATTTCTCCGCAGAGTGGCTAAGTGGAGGCATGTCAGGCCTACAATAAGACAAAAGACCAAAGTTTATAAGAAGCAGGACACAAGTTTTGGACATACGTTTGCTGCTATGTCAAGAATACTTCTGAAGTATGAGAGCTTACACTGAATACATGTCCGTACTTTGAAAGGCGGAATTTATCAGAAAAAGTCAGCCTGTTTGTAATGTGAGTCGGAAAGCATGGCATCTGTCTGGAGAGCTAAGCATTATTACTTCATAAAAGTCTGGATAAAGAAGTGACCGCCAACAGCAGAAAGAGCAGGGAGGCCCTGTTTCCAAGAGCTTTCACAATCCTCATCTAGCCCTCAAGTGCTATGAGGAAATACTGTATGTCCGTGGCTGCACTTTTCTGCCTTTTTCTCATGCGCCAAGGCGAACCATTCTGAATACCTCTCCAGTTCTGGATCTCCAGAACGCAGCCCAGCTGCCTGACAGAAAGGCCTCGGGTCATCTCGTTGATGCAGTCCACCCGCCCCTGCTCACAAGCCACGTGGAGCGGCGTGTTGCCGTCCTGGTCCTGCAGCTCCAGGCTGGCCTGCTTGTGCACCAGTGCCTGCACCACCGAGGTCAGGTTCAGGTACGTGGCCAGATGTAATGGCGTCTGTCAAGAGAACAAAACAACGACAGCTTCCTTGTCAGGCGTTGGGTAAATTCAGCCGAGAAGCGAATCAAATTAGACATTTGGCTGTTTGGCACTTTCATGTTAGCTGCATATAAAATAGTGTTTTGTTATTGTTTTGCTTCCGACGATTTTGAAACCTGCTAATTTGTGACCTACCCAAATGTAAGCAGCCTAAAATCACTGAATTTAGTAAATGGGACAGTTGATCCTTTCATTTCTTTAAAAAGTGGCTGATGGAACCCCCCTTTTTTTTTGGAAGAATGTTACCAAATTAGAAGGTATCATGGCTGTGCTAAGGGTTTTTAAAGGCAAATCACCTTTTCACTTCACAAGTTTTGGAAAGCTACAGTAGATTAAATTAACCAACGAAGGTCAGTTACTGTACATTAAAAAGTAAATAGTACTCGTTACAAACCTTTTCTGGCTTTTAACATGTAGAACCCTTGACCAAAATACCTTTATTATATTTGGGAGTACTTGTGCATTTAAAATAAATTTCATATCTTCTTACACTATTAAAAGAGATTTTTAGAAATGACAGGAAGGAAACATTTTAAAAATATTTAGTAACTAATTATTACAACTAGTTTTGAAAGTAATCAGAGGGGTCATGTCTAAGAGATTAATCACACCCAAAACCACGTAATAAACTTTTGACCTTCCAACAAAAGACATTTGTGCAAACTGCTACTGCATTCATAGCAAAATTATATAAAAATGACTACTTCCAGGCCCTAAATTAGTCTTAGTGGGAGATCCCCTTCCCGATGTTTCTAAATTTGATTGCGGGGGGATTCCCTTTTTAACTCTCCCCCACAAAAAAGTCCCTTACACCCATGGAAAAAGAAAGTCCCTACTGGAAAGGTTTAACTGCACATTCCTTATGTTTTTACTGCACATTAATCAAAAACACACTGCTCAGGAATTTTCTGGAAACATAACGGCAGATTTTCCCAAAGGGGCAGATAGCTTTCATTCTAGTATCCAGGAGTTTCCTTTCCTGCTCAGAACTACTAAAAATGCTCTGCTTGTCACCCCCAAAAATTACCCTACTGTACCAAACACCCCATGTTAAAACCCTTGGTTAAAATATATGATAATAGAATTGATACGCATGAGATAAGAATTGAGATCACAAATTTTTCATTTTTTTTAATGAAAATGGCATTGCATCTAATGGCTGCAAATTATAACTCCAGTCCCTGATGACAGGTTTTGACTGGGCAGTAGAAAGAGTTTCTGAAACAAAACCAGCATTCAAGCATTGGCTTTGTATTCCTGGCTCAATTCATTAATTCAGGCCTTATATAAAGCTGAACTCAGGCCTACAAAGGTGAATTTTTGAGTCATAAGATTACAGCATTTCCAGATGTTTGTATACCGTTTCTAATGCTATTCAATATCACATATATCTACTGCCCTTGAGCCTTACTTAGTACAATAACATTAACAGTAATATAGAGTATACTACACAGGTTTGATGACATACACGAAATAGTGCTTTAATCTTACCATACTGAAATTGGAAGTTGAAAGGAATTTGCACTCAGTTTCATTTGCAGAGTAGAAAAAGTGTTGGACTAATGCCAACATGTTATGGTAGCCCACAAGAAAATAAGTGAAAACAACGAGGAAGAGCAGACACCAGCTCTCCAAAATGAATATCTTTTAAATGGTAGTTGACATCTTTGGAGTCTCAGACAGATGTATATTTTCAGGGTAATTTGTTTAGTTTCATTGTTTGACAAGTTAAATAAAGCATTTTAAAGCATGAATTTCCAGCTTGGCCCTGGAACAACCCTAGTCCAGTGAATTTTACAGGTAACCTGTTTTTAAAATTGGCAACACCTGTAAACTAGTGGCAAGTATCTCAGTCTTTTCAACTAAGAGAACTCTGGGAATTGGAGGATGAACAGTACTTACATTGTACTGACAAATTATGTTAACTCAATTGTTTAATTGATCATAATGGAATATTATAGCAATCTACACAATGTTCTCCAGGACCAGGATTAATTATTCTAAATAACCACACGGTGGCTGGAAGCATACAGAAAGTTTTTAAAAAATGTCTAATGATGGACTCCAAGTGTCAAATGTTCAAGACTTTACCTGGTAAAGATCATTCTGTATGTCCAGCACATCTTTGGGAAACAAGGATATCAACTGTTCTGCAAATTCCCTCTCTTCATGGATTATCGCAAGATGTAAGATCCTAAAAAAAAAAAAAAGACTCAAGATAAATATTCTCTTCACATTCCAGATTTCTGTAAACATGACAAATATATAGTAATCAACAGAGAACTACAGCTTAATGTCACCTCAATGAAAATGTTATTGTGCAATCTGCCGTTCGCTAAAAGAAGCTGATCTGTCTAGACAGATTTCTTTATTATTTGGGGTGGGGTGATGCAGCTAGTGGGTCTTTAATAGGACCATTGTGCCTCCCAATTTATACCAAAGATCTAAATTCTAGTAAACTAGTCAATATCTGAGATGATAAAGTAGGAGGGCTAGAAAACACCTCTAAAAGAAATTAAAAAAAATAGAATTCAAGACTAAGCAAAACTCTGGCATGTGACATTTAAGGTACAGTAGATAAGTGCAGAATATTACATACATGTAGCAAGATAAATGATCAAGACAAATGCTACTTATGAAAAAGACTTACGAGCTTATGTTAGCACATTATGTCTTACTAGACAATGTGAGGATGCAAAAATGTCTGCCACACTCATTTTAATTAAGCCAAGTGAAAAATATTCCATACAGGTATTAAAAGCAAAGTATAACTATAGGATGACAGACATTGAGCTTGAAGAAGCTATTAAAAATAACTTAGGTGTTGAAGTTGATTTAATTTTAGTCTTTGGGGAGAGACAATTAACAGGCAAACAGAAGTCGGATCTCATTCAAACTACCGTTCACCACAAGAAAGACTGCTTGTCTGGAACCTGTCCCAAGGAAAAGCAACCAAACACATTCCCAGGCCTAAAGGAGTGTCCTACACTGACAGGCTAAAAAAAAAAAAAAAAACTAGCCTTTTAAGATTTGAGCAGAGAAGATCACAAGGGGACCTCGCAGAATTGTAATTTGATAAAAGTTAACAGAGCCGACTTTTCCCATTATCAACAGTGAAACACTAACCAGAGGAAACAGGTGGTAACTATGTGGAAGTTCATTTAAAACCAAAAACAGGAGGCACTTCTTGAAACAAAAGGTTGTGGGAGTCTGACTACCCACCAAGCCTCGTGTTCAAAGCACATATCATGGCTTCTTTCAAAAAACAAATTTAATTACTAAAACCCAAATGATCTTGATAAGACTACAGGCAAGAGGAGCCCATTGAGATTCTGTTTTGTTCAGCAGACAAGATTTTAGATTTGGGGTAATTGCTGCTACTGCTACCACCTACACACACATATATACTGTATACACACACGATGAGAGATTAAAAACACAGCAAATGCTAATGGCATATTTAAATTACTGAAATTAACTCAGTCATTACACGTTTCACACGTTACACATGTATATTTTGAATATTTGAATATTTTTAGAATATTTTGAAATATCAAAAACATCCAGTACCTTTCCCAGTTCAATAGGTTCACATGGCTAACAAGACCTAAGCTGGTCCACTAATAGTAACAAAAATCTCATGCTGGCTCATCCGTTCTTCAACAACCTAATGCAACTCCTCCAAGTCCTGAGCAATCAAACTAATTGAACCTGCCAACAGGATGCGAGCACAGGGCATGTCTTTGCACTTCACATTGAATTACTGTCCTAGTAGTAAGAAGTTGTGGTAAGACTAACAGATGTGGAGATTGTCTCTGACTGAAGAGGAGGTTTCTTTCACGTTCCAGATATCAATCTTAAGGCAAACGCTGCAAGAGGTTGATAACTCTTCTCCCACACAATGCTACATCCTTGTTGTTGTTGCTGAGTGAATCCTAGTGGCACACAATACCTTAAACGTCTGCGACCTGGTTGAATCTGTTTTTGCGAGAGCCCCACATGGTGGACGTCTCTCTCTAAGGCCTCAAAACCCTTATGTTCCATGAAGACTGAGCTGCACCACAAGAACTTTGGAGGTACACCTATCAATTATCTGAAAGCTGCTAACCTGCGTCAAGGGTCCAAGGGGCAAGAGAAGGCAGACACCTTGGACAAGACCCCAGTCCACCTTAGAATGCATATGCACAAAGTAGAAGCCCTAATTAACCCTTATTAACCTTGCTAGTATGTCTGCGGGAGGAAGAAAGAGCTTTTCACCCCGTGAAAGCCCATACAAATACTATTAAATGTAATTAATGAACTACTAATTTCATTAGATTTCCCTTTGAAGCGAAACTATTTCCCCAATGCCAGCCTTCTCCAATGTACAAGTATGACTTTTTGAACGGCACATCAGATGATTCTTACACCTAAACTGTTTAATACATTTATAGGCGCAAGGCAAATTCCAATTTGAAAGCAGAAATAAAAAATTCCTTTGCCTTCCACCTCCATATACAGCTGTCTAGATCAGGGGTGTGCTTTCACACCTGCTGCTTCTTTGTTCCAGCTGATCATAATGACTGAACTGAAGCTGTAATTGAATCGACAAGTGGCTAGAATATTTGCAAATGTTTGCTTTCTACTCATTCCCCTCCCCCCCCATCATGAAATTTTTACTTAGGAAATGTAAAAGTTAAAACGCAGCTGTCAACACGTATAAGAGTTTAACTCAATTACTGTATGTAACTGAGAGCTTGGCTGTAACAAAAACCAGAAAGTGTGTGGTCCCTCAAAAGAAGGCCTGGAAATGCCTGCTTCGTACAACATTTACAAGATTGCCTAGGCATGACTATGACAGTCATGCCTGTACAAATATACAGAGATCTGGCTATGTTGACAAATAATTAACTTTTACCTTATGGTGCTTATTTGCCTCCTCTGTCTTCTTACAGCAAATGGTATCTATAAGAAGCCTGTAGGGATTGACCACTTAATCAGGTCAGTGTTTGGCCTAAAAGAGGGCTGTTGTTCCCCAACTTAAAACTCAGTATTTACTAAACAGTAAGGGCTGTTGAGGTTTATCTCAGTGGGGGTTTTTGCTCTCAAGAAAAACTTCATGCAATTGCAATTCAGCCAGAGCCTCCTCAATCCTACTCATCAGAAAAAAAACCGGGGCAATTAAAAATCAAATCTACAGGGCAATAATGTGGGATGAATGGTGCTCGGCAGTGGGCTTAGGCTCCATCACAATGGAAAGATACAGTACTATGAGCAGTGTGTCAGCATGGGGGAGGTTTCATTCTATATGCTATGTACAATGGATATGATTCCATTGAAGAAGTACAAAGTCTGACATTCTGGAAAATGTCAGAATTTGGCACGAATGCGGCTGTGTTTCAAGGGGCCCTTGCACTTTAATCACCCAGCATCTTCTTTCTGACACCTTAGCTGGTATGAGTGAAGTTGACATTTTGACTTTTCTGACTCAGATATTTTCAGGCGAGGTGTACAAGTTCTGAGTAGCTGTATGGCCCACAGGTTCACTTGCCCAGGATCAGAAAACCAAAATAGTAACCTTAACTGTAGGACAAAAAAGGTGATTATTCTTATACCTCTCATTTTGTAGCCGAGTTCACATGTGACTACATGCTTTCTGAGGGTTTCTCTATAGCTGTCTCGACTCAAGAGTCACTGGCAAAGCTCAGCAACTACTTAATTTCTAGGAAATTTATTGTAATTTACATGTGAGCACTGATGCACAGTACTTTCAGGTTTCTGAAAAATACTTAGAAAATATTGTAAAATATAATAACCAAAGGTCTCTGTCTCCTCCAACTTTTCAGCTTTGTGCTTCTTCCTTACGCTTCCTCAGTAAATTCACTACCAATCAGTAAAGAACAGTTGTTCTTTAAATAAATACGGAAATAAAAACGGAAACGCGGAAAAATGCAAGCTTGCGGATTGCTAAAGCAGGTAAGCTACACTATTTTTGAAGAACCTTATTTACCGTTGGCAAAAGAGCTGACACCATTGGCTAAACAGCTTGACCTGCTGCCCCCCTCCCCTTGAAAGACACAGTCATTCACAGAATTATTGAAATGAAGGATTATATCAAAAGTACACTGATAGAGCATGTTAAGATGAGCAGATATTTTTCACTGCAATTAGATGAGTCTGTAGTTGATTTGGCCAATTTGCTCGTTTACGTTAGATACGAGTTTGAGGGCATGTCCCATGAAGACTTTCT